TTTTAATCCGATCAATAATATAAATTATTTAATAATTATATTCTGTAGTTCAGTACGATTCTTTGAATATATTTTTATTTTTTGAAAATACTCAAAACGTAAAATTTCCAATTCAAAACTAAACGTATTGGGATGGCACGTATCATGTATGCATCTAACATGTATATGATCTGTATTTGGATCATGTACAGGCATACAGCGTTTCCGGATGTGGTCTTACAACAGAGTTCGACGTTACCCCATATCAACCTCACTTGTGTGGTCACGTACCGGACTCGGGCTTGAATACATATGTTTTCGTTAGCTGGACAAATTGAACCGTCTTCCAGGAAAGGCCGCATATAGATTTAAAAATCTTATTTATTTATTTTTTCATCCACAAGGATTTTTCCACACATACGCCACCACGGCGTAAGAGTCAATAATACATAATATTATAATAATATTATACTTTTACTTTTAACATTAAATAACATACCCTTAAAATTATTATTTGGTACGAACAATTACACCATACCCTAATGTATAAAATCGTAGGTACTTAAAACTAATTATGATATCGTCAAAATTAGCTTAAAATTAACCGTTTTAAAAATGAATTTATTTTTACATATAATTATCTTTAATCAATTATGTTCAAAATTAAATACAGACAATTTTTTCCGGAAAACTCATGCATTTAAAAACTGGAAGATACTATAAATTATATTGAACATGTGGTATAGAAGTTAAAGGTAAAATATAGACTGAAAGATTTATTCGATATGTAAATAGTTTGGTATATTACACTTCATTTCAATTAAGTCAATACGAATTTAAATAGTTTAATTAAAGTGATACCAAAAATATAATTCATTGTTTAATTAATTTAAAAAACAAAATACAGATAGTAATTTAAATAAAAAATCAATGACATGTTGATTTAACTGAATAGAATAGTAATATAAATTTTAAAATGCAATAAAATTCGTTAGTATTATTGGATAATATTTTTTAATTATTTCGTAATATACCTATAAACTATGTGCTTGTTATTGTTTTTTTTTTTGTTTTTGCTTAATTTTATGTTTAACTGCAATCGCATACCTACTTCACGGAAGCACGGTCGTGGGGTTTGTAAATATACATGTTTTAACCAATTACCCAAAGCTTAACCACCGGCGCTTTAAAACTGTGCTTCTAAGTGAAGGTAAACGGCCAAGGATTATCTTTTCACATAAATCTTTCGTTACAGTTGAAATCCAAAAAAAAAATATAAAATAAAATCCCTAGTGCAAATAATTAGACATGAAATTAAGTTTTTGGACATCTAAATCAAAGCATCAAACGAATGTTTTAATTGCATAAAATAGAATATTAGAATGATAAATAAATAATTAGTATGCTACCTAGACTTACGATCTCCATTTAAATATGAATATTAGTAATATTAGTTTTTAAAATTCACATTTATTAACATCTGAAAGATAATAACATTTAATTGGAAAATATTTCATGAGATAAATGCAAATTAACAATTTTATTTATATTCTCAAGTCAAAGATTAGGGGACGTGTTACTCGGATGTTAGACTTGAATGTTTGGCCTGGGTACTGAGTATACACTCGTCTGCTTTATTTACCTTGATCCTTGGTACTGGATACTTTGGTGTGCTCTGACAATATGTTTTTTTTCCTATTTATTATATAGCTTTAACAAGTTCTTGTTCATTGTGCTCAGCAAATATTATAGACCCGCTCACTATATTGTATAAATTATTATATAGTATATATTATATTTCTTCATTAACTTCTATATTTTTTTTGATTGACTACAGAAACACTGAATACACTATTATAATATATAAATATTATGTTTTACCTAATTTATATTTATAGGTAAGTACTGCATCAAAATATTCGTTTATAAAAATTACTCGTATGTGTCGTATATGTTATAATTATAGGTCAGTATGTCAGGTACAAACTATAATGGTATATACATAAAGATTACAGTTATATATATAAACTATATACTATATAATATATATTATATTTTAATACCATGAGTAGTAACTCATATTTTATTTAACGTGAACATAAAACGAATTTAGAAATATAGTGGAACGTAAACGTTTACATTTGCTAAGATTTAAACATAATTTTATTGTGGTATAGCAAAATGTTCTTCGCACAATAAAATAAAATATTTGGATAATATCATCACACGAATTTCAAAAGTAAAATATTATTATTAATAAAAAATACAATTAAGTAGTATTGCTTTGTATAATGCCTGTACCTAAATATTTCTTTTAGAATTAGGTACATGCCACATTAATGTTTAATGTACTGTATAATATATCTTATACGCAGTGTTTCCCGTGTTTATAAAATATTCTAATAGTTGCAGTTCTCAGTTATAAGAATTTAACATACCTTTTAAATCTCTAAATGTGTTTATTTTTTAAACAATTAAAATACTATAAATAAGTAACTTAATTAGGTATCTAGTTTGTTTTATAATATAATAATATATTGAATGGAAATTTGGTTTGTTTTTCAAATGTACAACTTATATCTAGTAGATTAATTTAAAGTACATTTTTTTTCCCCCGAAATAAGTAGAACTAACTAAATAAACTATGGTACAAACAAAAAAAAACAACTTTTTACTATGGTAAATATAGTTGTATCTATCTTAATTTGTTTAAAAGTTAATAAAATAACTAATAAGAATAAATAATTTTAAAAAATAATGAATTGTTTTAAATTTAATTAATTTTTAAAGAAATTTTATTTATTATTGCAAGTCAATATTATCCAGAAATTAAAAGAAACATTGAATACATTTTAAAGCTCAATTGTAAAAATTTAACAGCTTCAGCATACGATAACAGCTGAGATTTATAATGTAGTTTGTATATAATGATTAAAAAATGCTCACTTTAAAAGCAAATTTATTTCTTATACCGGGATGGTGGATTTTTTTTGTTCATAAAATAATTATAAAAAAATCGATGTTATAGCAATTTTCTTTTTTTTATTTAATTGTGATTTCATGATTTGTCATTATGCTAAGTGGTGTTGTCAACGTCAATTCGAAATACATGGAACCAGCTAGTGATTCCTAAACTTCAACTAAACAAAGCGAATTGGTTTTAGTTTCCACTCTCCGTCATATAATGGAAGATGTGCCCTCTGCGTAATAATTATTCGTCAAGGAGACTTATAAATATTTTATCGGCGCTAAAAGGCTCTTCCATCTCTACCTCCAACTTACTGTTCTCGGTATCTACCGTGGCTCGCACTCTATCGTTCTGTCTCATTATGTGTCCCTTGCTCCCACACTTTCTTTGTCTGACTTCCGAGCACATATATGCACCGTGTCTAAAGTTTACAAGTCCAGACCCCCGGAGGCGTTAGTTTAATTAAATATAGTCAGGCCAACAAGCTAGTCAGGAGGCGAAGCCACTGAATAAATAAACAAGCAATTTCGGGGCGAATACTACTCTCTCTCTCTCCTTCTCTCGCTCACTTGTTCCAAGCTTGGCCCGGCGTCGGTTTAGTGCCCTCGCGGGAATCGCTCCACTACACACCTCTATGTAGCCTCCACCGTTATAGTTGCCCGCCAAAAATACAACCGACATAAACAAGTATGAAAAATGTATCAGTAGCCTACGTATATACTACCATACACCATCCTGACAGATAAATGCGATAGGGTCGACCACCGTCGATATAAAACCCTCGACAAACATTTCTTATCTATACTATACGCACTATTGTCTAATGTTTCTTTCCAGCTTATTTATATTTAATTATACACCTACAAGTGTAATGCAAGTTGTAAGTTGTAACCTATACGATTTCATTTAAGGAGTTATCACCACCTGTCAGTATTAGAAAAACATTCATTGAAACTTAAAATAATGCATGAAAAAAAAAAACTTGCTTTTGATTCATTGACAAGTTCTAGTTGAAAATAAAAGTCTCCGTACTAATTTCCCATACTACTAATTTTTAACATATTACTATATATCTGATAACTATTTAACAATTAATCCGTGTATAATAAACATACAAAACTATAACGGTGATAAATTATCAAGTAAGTTATATTGCACATATTCAACTGATAAATAATTACACTGTACCTACTAGCAATGAATGAATAGATTATTTTTATGCTTATGTGCCAGTTATTTAGAACAATATAGTATATAGCATATTTAGTAAAATATTATAATAGTAATACGAGTATGAACTGCATTTCTAGGCATAACAACGTTAATGCAGCTTAATAACTATTTATTTGTTACCAAGTAATTTGAGAACCAGTAAGTAAAGTAAGTAAGACAGTGTGCACTTTTTTTGCATAAGAATATATCTTTTTTAGTAAATAACTAATAGTTTTTTCAGTAAACATTAGCGTGAAAATCTCGACTAATACATTTAGTTCGAAAACCTTGCAATAAATTTAACACAACTCTTATTAGTTGTCCTAGATCTTAACTTTATGAAAATACATTTAACCAACTTCTCTATATTTATAATTATTGTATATTATAATATAATTAATTTTATATTTAAAAATATTAATAAAATGTTATCTTTATAAAAATTAAATTGTAACAGCAAATTGTAAACTTAATATACAGGGAATTCATTCAGCTTCCTCACCACCTTTTTTCATTCAATAATGCAGTTGAACAAAATCTGAATTTTATAATTTTTAAATATAATTACTTACATTTTCAAATTCTTGATTTAAATTTGTTGTACTACTTAATGAGTGTCCCGTGGAGGTACAAACTTCTATTTTTGAAAATGAAAAACCTAATTTTCTACCATACATTATTTAACGAATAATTTTTTTTAAAATTTTCATGTATAAAAATCAAAATTCAAACAACTTTTAGTTCTGTTCTGACCGTCGTTAAGAACGCACGTCGTTTCGTTATCGTTATTGTTATCCGGCAAAGTTTCGATTGTGGGCGCGTCGCTTATTGTATATTTATAATGCCGTGCGGTACATGTAAATCTAATGTTTCGCCGACTAAGAAAATAATCTGCTCTAGTTGCAATAAATACTTCCATAAACATTGTTCATCAAACTTTATTGAAGATAATATTGACCTACATAAATGGATTTGTAGTACTTGTGAACAAAATCTAATCATAAAGAAAAATGTTACTACTAGGAAAGTTGACTCTAGCAAATCTATTAATAATACTCTTCCCGAAGATTCTAATCTAAAGTTAATTCGTGAAGATATTTCAACTTTGATGAAGAAATTCGAAAGTGTTTCAAAAAGTAATACTGAAATAGAAAAATCTATTCATTTTTGCTCTGAAAAATTAGACGATTATGCGGAAAAAATGGATCTGTTATTTTCTAAAACTAAATTACTTGAAGATAAGGTCAATGAATTAGATTTAAAATTTGCTTATTTACAAAAAGAAATAAATGTACTTAAAATTAACAAGAGTAAATCGGAGCAAGAATTATTAGCCAACAATATAACAATTAGTGGTATTCCTTATACTAAAAATGAAAACATCGATGAAATTATTAAAGTCACTGCTGATATAATCAAAGTCAATTTACATAAGAATGATATAGTCTCAAATTATCGTATAAAAAAAGTTGATAAATCTGGTGGTAAAATAATAGTAAAATTTAATAGCAAAACAATAAAAGAATCATTTCTAAATGGAGTTAAATCACTTACTATTTCTAAACAACCTTTAAAATCTAATCAAATACACAACTCTTTTCCTGACAAAATTGTCTATGTCAATCATGAACTTTCACCCATGTTTAGAAAAATATTTTGGTTAACAAAGCAACTGTCGAAAGAATACAATTGGAAATATGTTTGGGCAAATTCGAACGGAGTGTATTTAAGGAAGACTGATGGAGATGTTCCGATTAAAATACAATCTATTAAAGACATATCTGGATATGATGTGGAAAACAAGTTGGCTCATTTGAAACTTCACGACTTAGAATCCTCAGGATAAACGTTGTTATTTTTTTAATAACTAATAAGATACTATTTGTAAGTAATTGTCTATTTGAATTTATTTTCTCTTATTTTATATGAATATTGATAACTTAGTATTAAATGAAATTAACCGTTTAAATAATGTGAAAACAAAATATATTGATGACTTAGTGTCTTTCTCTGTAGATAAAAATAAATATAACATTAGTATTTTTTCAATGAATATTCGTAGTATAAACTGTAACTTCGATGAACTAGTCCTAATGCTAAGTAGTATGGACGATAGTTTTGATATTCTAATATTAACTGAAACATGGTTATTAGTCGATTTTAATTTTGTTCTAAATGGTTATTATAACATTAATTCGCTTGGCCATACAAATAAAAGCGATGGTGTAACTATTTTTATAAAAAATAATTTTTACTTAAAGAGCATCACCCATGGTTTTATTACTGAATGTAATTCTATTGAATTAGTATTTGATCATAATGGGAAAACTTTGTCGATAATAGGAATTTATAGGTCGCCAAATAGTAATAAAGATAATTTTGTTATCATACTAAATGATTACCTTCAACGACTAAACGATTCTAATGTTTATTACATTATAGTGGGTGATATAAATATAAATATTATCGACCCTGATATTTCTTTCGATTATCTTAATACTATGGCATCACATAATTTTATTTCTTGTATTAATGAGTGCACTCGTATTACTAATCATTCCAGTTCTTGTTTAGATCATATTTTTACCAAAAACATTAATAGTGATAATATTCAAGCATTTATACTAAAATGTAAAATCACTGATCATTTTGGTACAATAGTTCTCATTGAAAACTCTGTTAATAATATCAAAGACTGTCATACTTCACAAAATAAAACAAGAACTAAAATCAATATAAAACTTCTTAATTCATTAATAAGTTTACAAAATTGGAATGATATTATTGACAGAAATAATATCGATAAATCTTTTCAACATTTCTTAAATAAAATTGAAGAAATGATTAATATGTCTTCTTTTAATCACGTATCTAAGATGTCTAATAAATATAAAAGAATTAAAGATTGGATTACTAAGGGACTAATTATTTCCACAAATCATAAGCATAAATTATCCAAAAAATTATTTAAACGCCCATTTGATTCTAATTTAAAACAAAAATATAATAATTATATTAATATTCTAAATACTTTAATTAGAAATAGGAAAAAAATATATTATCAAGATCTTTTATCTAAACTCCAAAATAATCCTAAAAAAATGTGGGAAACGATAAATAATATAGCAGGTAGAACAAAAACATATAATGTTGAAATAAATAGTATTAGGCTTAGTAACAATTCGATCGCTAATGGAAATATCAATATTGCAAATGAATTTAATACGTTTTTTGCCAACGTGGGAAAAAACATCGAATATAATATAAAAAAAACGGCTATGATTATGAGGACTGGACAGATTTAAATAAAAATTGCCATGTTAATAATTCTATGTTTTTGACTCCTATAACTCAAGCAGAAATCATAAATGACATTCTTAAAATTAAAAATTACTCTTCATATTATGAAAATGGTATCTCTAATTACATTCTTAAGTCAACAATACATAATATTTCTTTCCCATTAATGTTATTATTTAATTTGTCCCTGGATAACGGAAAATATCCGTCATGTCTTAAAAAATGTATAGTTATCCCTCTGTTTAAGTCTGGTGACAAACTAGATTGTAGCAACTACAGACCTATCTCATTATCCTTAAGTATATCTAAGATTTTTGAAAAATGCATCAAAACTAGAACTATGAATTTCCTTAATACCAATTCTTTTTTCTCTATGAATCAATTTGGTTTTATTCCAGGTAGATCTATTAACGATGCACATTTTTTTGTAAATAAATTCATTCACGAGAATCTTGATATTGGTAATAAAGTTATGGGCATTTGTCTTGACGTTAAAAAAGCGTTTGACAGTATTAATCATGAGTTACTACTAAAAAAATTAAATTATGCAGGTATACGCGGAAAAGAAAATGATTTTATTAGATCTTACCTCACTGATAGGATACAAATAGTCAAAATTAATGATTCATATAGTTCACCTTTAAAAATAAATCATGGTGTTCCTCAAGGAACCGTTTTGGGACCTATCTTTTTTATTATATATGTTAATGGTTTGCTTAATATTAATATTGATTCAAAAACAATTTGTTTTGCAGATGATACTATCATTCTTATTCAAGAAAAAAATATTGAAAAATTATACTATAAAGCTAATAATATATTTAAAATAGTAAAATCATGGTTCAACAATAATTTTCTAGATCTAAATTTAAATAAGACTAAACATATTATTTTTAATATTCAGAATGTTAATCATGACATTCAATGGAATTTAAACATACAAAATACCTCTAACCCAAATAGTAATTTGGATAATTGTACATTCATAAATATTGATAGAGTCTATTCTATCAAATATTTAGGAATATATATTGATTCTCAACTAAAATGGAACATACATATAAACTATATTACAAACTTAATTCGTAAATTCTTTTATGTTTTTAGAGATCTTAGGTACATACTTGATAAACATCAACTTAGAATTATATATATTTCCCTAGTTCAATCAATTATTGCATTTGGTATCGAGATATGGGGTGGTGCTTATGAAATTCATTTGATCAAATTAAAATCGACTATGAATAAGATTATTAAATTTATTTTAAAACTTTCTATGCTTACTTGTACTACATTTATTTATAAAGAACTTAATGTCTTAGACATCGATAAACTTCTTATTAAATGTACCTTGCTATTAAGTTTTAAACATAAAATGTACCTACCTCCTTGCAATCATGATTACAATACGAGATTTAGGAAAAATATAAATGTAACTATTCCAAAATGTAACAAACAATTTGGATATAAAAGTTGCCTAAATCGAGCACTTACACTATATAATAGAATGTCAATTAATGTTAATAATTTCAGTAATTTTAAGCATTTTAAATCTTATATAATGAGTCAAATAAGTTTTCTTTAAGGATTTAATTCGATTTCTAAATTTACGTTTTGTTTTTTTTTTTTGTTTTTTTTTTTTCTCTTTCTCCTTTTAATAATAATTTAATATTAGAACTGATCGGTGTAAACTTTAGATATTAAGATACTATGAACTCATCACCTTCAACACAAGCAATTGCTTAAAGAAGGTGTCAAACAAATGTTCCTATCGCTTTATTGTACTTATTCACTGTTCGTTTGTAAATAAATAAATAAATAAATAAATAAATAAACTTCTTTTCGAGTTAACTATTTAACTTTCTGTACTGAGTATAATAGGCCCATATTATTATGGTTATGGGTTTGGAATATGTTGAGGCTAAGTTGATTTTAAAATTGTATTATTAACAATCTACCTATTAACATTTATAATTTGTAAAAATGGTCAATGGATAATAAATATCAGATCGAATATTTTCTTAAACCCGTTTTTAATGACTTTTATCCTTAAAATAAACATTTTAAAGTAACAGATCTCATTCAAATTTGGTACATCAAAATTTTCAAACAAAATGTTTCTGAAAGGTTTTTTTTTACATACTTACCTAAATCGACTGGCAAAATCATCATATACATATTTTATTATGAATTAGTATTATCTTGCGATACATGCAAGTATTACGGGCTTAAGTTCAGAGGATACAGTGTAATTGGTTTAATAATTTACTATTTAAGTACAAATACGTTTATACATTATACATAGTATTAAATACACAACAAATAGAAAATACTATTTAAAATATTATAATAGGTAAAAAAATATCCATTTTTATTTGTGTAACTTTGTATTAAGATTTACATTTCAAAGCGAATTACTTCTGATTATTTGTATTTTGATTTAATTACAAATGCCATATTATTGTGTCTTGATTATTTTTATTGTATTCCCAACATGTTATTGCAATAATTTCCACTAATGTATTAATGGAAAAGCCATCTCAAAAGTTATTAGTAACTACCTAAAGTAAATAATAATGAAAACAAATTTACTTTATAACGTTTATATAATACCTAATTTATAGTTATATCGTTCGTATACGTTTATCACATAATATATTATTTTATGTACCCATATTCAAACACTTTATTATAAAGATAATACATTTAAACTTGGATTCTAAATATTAACATACATACCTGTCACTCTTTTTGACTGATAGATTACCCATTAGGTATATAGGATTATCCATAAAATAAATTACATTTTAAAAGTTGTAAATTACTTAGAAAAAAATAAATAAAATATTCTGAATTATGACCAAAATTATGTTTTTTTTATATTCTTTAGAGTTGTTTTTAATTTAATACATCAATATTGTTAAAAATTAAAAAGGCATTATATTTTTTAATCATTCATTTTTTTTTATCAATGTCAATATTAAATTGACATTTTATTTAATCAACCAATTTTTGCTATGAATAATTGCTGAGATAAAAAAACCCATTTTAAATTTAAGTTTATAACGATATTTTGACTTAAACCAATACAATTTAGACTTAATTAAACATCTCTCTTTTTTTTTTACTTTCCACTCGACTTCTTTGTTTTATAAATATAATTTTGTATATATTTATATATTACCATGCTTTAGTAGAAGACCATAATAGGTCGAATAATACCCTGATTAAAAGCGCACGACAATATATGGCAGTCTATTGCACAAAGAACAACTTTAAATTGGACCATCGGGACCCGTGCTGGTTAACTATGTAAAGTAGATAGTGTGTATGGAGAATTAATACGAATATAATATATGAATTCGTCTCAGCATAATATTCACAAAGGCAAATAAAATATTAATGGTAATTTGTAATTGGTATCATAATATTTACAAAAGACGTATTGTTTTAAGTATCATTTCAAGTCCTTCGTAATGTATATTGTTAATATAAAAAGATATGATTATTTTAAGCAACAATAATTAAATAAACAAAAGTAAATAAAAAGCAATAAAACTTTTAATTATAATTGTAAATTATTAAATGGTTTTTCAGATAAGTTCATACATGTTTAATAAGTCCGTACATATTTTTATGGAAAACGTTAAAAAAAAGTAATAATACAATTATATTAGTAGGTATGTAATTAGGATATTACAATATGTATAATATGCATGTGTAATATGATGTGTTTATAAATCACAACTTGTATAAGATAAAGATCGTTAACTTTTTTTCTGTAAAGCTTCAATATGCTTGAAAATGTAATTACAAATTTATAACCTCTTCATGTGACCTAATTATCTTATCCATGTTAGCTTTTAACTATCAGGTAAACCATTAAATATAAATTTGATTGTAAACTATTCATATTTGAGTTAAGTATTTTAGAGAAAATTATTTGTCATTATAATATGAGTGTATTACAATATCAAGGGAAAGAGGATAATTTTAGTTGTTCAGTCTTTATTTTTTATTTTTAGATTATACTTTAATACTTAATATAATATTGTACATTTCGATGATTAAAATTGTTCATTATTCTTTGAATATAAAATCACTTTGTACTGAAAAATATATATCAGTATGGTTTAACATGAAGAATCTTTTTTTCGGTTTGTAGGATAAATTAGGTGTACATTTTGTTAATGTTTAAAAGTTAAAACTATTATGTGGATGTTAATTAATTAAATAAAATTCACATATTTATTAATATGTGAATTTTATTTAGACAAATGTTTTCATTAAGTTTTTTTTAAAACAAGTTTAAAAACTTTTGGCTTGGTGTACCTAAACTGTACATATTATCGATTAATATTATGATATATGAAGAATATAATATTGACTGGTTTTCAATTGAAAAATGAATTTCTGAAAGAGTCTTATAATAAAAACTATAGGTAAGACTAATTTTTTTTTAAATAAAACTTTTTTAGTTACTTCTTAACATTATACCAAACTAGCTGATCCCGTGCCCTTCGTTGCTCGTTAAATTAACAACTCTATATGACTCAAACTTTGTTCAATTCGTTATTTAATATTAGGTGTATGGTGTTCAAAATGTATCTTAACTTTTCCGTTGCCCGGAATAAAATTCTGATTTGCAGCAGTATATTATCAGGTAGGCAATCTATACCTGCTGTAGATCGCGGACCCTGTGCTGTTTGTACGTACGTGTATGATTTAACTCTAAACTATCAATGTTATACTAAGTTTGTCATATTCCACCTTTGGTGGATTAATATAATCAATGAATACAAAATCCTAACCTAACCTAACTGTACTAATATCAGATGAATAAAAAAAAACCAAATTTAACCATTTTTAAATTAGCCTGTCCCAGAAAAAAAAACAAACATTAATTTATACATATATATATTGACAAAAATAATAATACAAATCAACAAACATGCCCGATTGACCAATAGCAACCAATATATAATACACTGTTGCGCCACTGTTG